TGTTCGTCTACCTGCCTGCCTGTCTATCTTCGTGATGCCCATTCCTGCTGCCACACGTGTGCCCACCACAAAAAACGTATTGCCGGATTCCATGCGGGTTAGTTACATACTTAAACGGGACACAACTTCCCCCCGCCTCTAGTCACTTCGAGTGGCCCACGGACCACACCTCGCCAATTTAATGCATCCCTAACCTCGTCGTGGCTCCTGACTTCACACATCAACGATCTGCCAGTTTTCACTCCGCTCATTCTCACAAAATTTGTGCCAATGCAATTACCTTTAGTCTACTGTTATCGGGCACTACACTCTGCTGTTTGTTTGATTTGTAACACATTGGGGCATCCCTTACTGTTGTATAAAATGTTAGTGTTCATTTGGAGTTCCCGTCGACACTTATCTGCTCTAGACCCTGTCACATTCGGAATGTCTCGCGTCAAATGATTTTAGCATCAACAAAGTGAAGCGGCTTGGTTTGCACAATCATCCATGCTAGCCGTTTATGACTCATCACGCTTTTGTGTGTGTGTTTTGTTCGCTGGCCTGATGAAACCCAACAGTATCAGACTGCAGCGTGGTCTTTTGACAGTAAGTCGAACAAGTGGAATTTTCCACGGTAATCTGGCGAGATTCCTCCTTCTTGTCCTCCTGATCACACTCATCCCACGATCTGCATACCGGTCCCGTCGGAGCACACGTTCAAAACATTGTTCTCCACTCTGACCGATCTTTTTCTATATGTGTCATCAATCTTTTGCCGCAGTGACTTTTTTTCGCTCTCCCACTGTATGTGTAGTCCGTGCAATGCTTATCGATATTTTCGGGGTGATGATGACTGTATAATCACTTTCAACATTGCATTGGCGCAAAATTTGGAAATAATTTTGAACCTGCTAAGGCACACGGTTTCCTAAATGACATTTCTGTTCATTTTAAGCGTGCCAATACTCAGAGACTTGGGCTAGGAGTGAACGACGCGTATTACGCATAGTTCATACTCACTGTTTGCGTCGTACAAAACAGGACACAAGCATCTTCATATCCAAGATATTAATATGCCGGCAATGTGCACCACGTCTAAGCAGATGACTTTTGTAATTTCTAAAACTCAAAGTGGAAGCCTATGGGGTTTTATGTAAATACCTCACTTTGTCGAAAGAAATTCCCAACTTTCCTAGTGAACCTCTTTGTCCAATCGGATTGGTGACCTTTCACGACTAAACTGTCCTCGAACCAGTTGTAACCTCTCGTCTTATGAATCTCCCTCCCCCTAAATGAATACCCTGCTTGCACATGGCTCATGAATCCGGCTATCGAGTTTCCGTCCTCGCAATCGGAAAGTAAGTCATCCACGATAGATCATTTAAGAGGTGCACTCTGTAAGAGCACTTCTCAGAGTCAAACGAGACTTCACTCTCACCCTCCGAGTAACTGGAACGTTTTGAAGACTGAATAAGCAGAGAAAAGTGATAAGTCATTGGCTTGACTTTGAATGATCACGCCGGTCACAAAGATCGTCCAATGATTGTATAATTGTTGCCCAGAGTCAAAATGCCGCTTCTCGCGATATTACTCCTCTCGTCTGTTTACCTCAAGTGGTGAATGCTTCAAAGGGATACTTCAATCACGGTCAGCCTCCATCCCAGACTCAGACTCCCATCTTTGACCACTCCCCGTGGTACGCCGCTCTCCTGCTCCACTGTGCTTAGGGGCGCCCGGCCGTTTGGTCCTGCACGATCATCCTGTTTCACATTTATTAGACGAAGTTTGTCACACTAAACCAGAACAAATCCGGTACATTTCTGTGCATAGGTGCGATGGGATGTATCGTTGACTGTGATAACCGCCGGCCACAGAACGCATAGCTAACTGCAAAATTGGTTTGATGAAATGTAGAAACAGTTGATTTTTTGTAGTAGTGATTCATGCGTTCTGTCAGTACACCAGAAGCGTTCAAAATGTTCTGCATTTTATTTAAACGGTCTAACACTGTTCCCCTCGTGCTTATTGATTTCCAGGTCACCCAGAATATTGTTTAAGTATCGCAAAAACCCTACGAATTGTTTACAACACAGAGGGCCTATTTCACGGCCTGTACAAGGGGGTCACGCTGAATTGGATCAAAGGCCCGATTGCGTCCTCGATCAGTTTCACGGTATTCCATCAGGTGCAACATCTATTACACTGGTACGATCGGCACATCTCTCGCCAACCATCCCCGTAGACCGGGGGAGGGGGATCCTCGGTTAATCCGGTCATTCTGTGGTTCCGTGATTCCGCGTCAGGTTGACAATTTCAAATCACCTTAGCGATTGTCGCGTTACTGCGCCTGATTTTGCATACTGTTTTTTTCCTATTAGTTTGTTGTTTTCCTTCTCTTGGCAGGGACTATCCGCACAACGTCTTCATCGGTCCTCTCGTTTCTTGGACTACATTCACATTTCATCTTATACCCGTTGAACTTCGCGTTCTCAGGCGACCGCAATACAGTCTCTATTTTCGTCCCTTCCGGCTGTCTCCTCGTAACCAGTTCTTGTAGTGTTGTGCATGTAAATATCTACCATATTAGGTCCCATCTACTTTTCAACATGACCAACTTTTCCGCGCTTCATTTAGTCGCCAGATCAGTTCCTCGTCTGCTCACGCATACGATATCATTGTTGTGACTTGAAGCCATCCTGTGACATGCTTCGTTTGGTTGTTAGCATGATTCTTTTCGTTCCAGTTCGGTTCGCTTTCCCATCTCCATGTACTCTTATCCCCCCCACCCACCCCAATTGTTACAAATGTCTTTCAGGGACCATTCGTGTGCATTGCTATGCTCCCGCACTATAGAATTAGATTTATTTTTGTTTCG